ACCGTAACGAAAAGTAAAAAAATAAAAAAAAAAAAAAAAAATTTGATTTTTGACAATTTTTGAAATTTTGAAAAATTTGGAGTGACCTCTTAAAAATTTTTTTTTGAGCTGTCCTTTGGTGAGGGTTCTTAAAACATCAAAAACTAACATTTTTTCACTCGAGACTAAAAAAAAAAAATAGTCGGTTTTTTTGCGCCACCCTAACGTACATGACCTATTACAATATTTGAAAAACTTGTTTTATTCTACCTGGCCTGCATGGCTCTCATAGAAGCTTATATATAATGGTTTGGTACCTGAGATGCCTCAATGGACAATACATATTTTTTTTTTGTTTAATTTTAGTCTTGTTCTTTTATACATATAAATATTGTAGAGATTAATAGTATATGGTTAGTAATGAGTTAGCCTAAAAAAAAACGATGTATATAAAAAAGGCTTATAGTATTAAGAAGAAAAACAAAAAAACAGATACAACAAAATATAAATATATATATATATACATACAGCAACAAATAAGGAAAACGGGAGAAAGAGAATAAATAATAAAAGGAGAAAAAGGAGCAGATTATGTTAACCACCAGTATTCCTTACAATTGTGGGGATTAACCAATTTGTCTTTTTGTGGGACTGAAGTGCAGTATTGTATGTCGGTATTTGATAATATTTTTGAGTCATAATTAATAGCTTTGGCGTTTGGGTCTCTTTTGACGTGGTATATTAACGGTATGAATTGAGGGTCTTGAATGAGTCCTAGGCTGTCCAGGTATGTGAATATTTCGAGAGGTGTGTACCCCGATGTCATTGCTTGATTGAAGTATTGTGGTTGTGGGTAAAAGGGACCTGATATTAAACTATTTTCAGTAGACGAGGATGCATTGGCAAAATGATTGCGGCAAAGGCGGATAAATGCTTTACCCGGATAAGCTACCGGGTCATTCTTCACTTTTATTTTCTCTTAGTATACTTAAGTCCTGGCTTGGTTAATTTTTCACGAATTTTTTCAAAGTTGCTTTCGCTCTCAGACGATTTTCGTTTATTAACATCTTTATACCTCGAACAGATACTAACAACTTCCAGCTTACTAGTATTCTTGTATTCTCGATCTTTAGCGAAAATGGAATGCTCCATCTCGACTTGAATTAGTTTAAAACTAGTCAAAAAAAATATTGATCGCATTGGTGATAAAACAAACTCATTTTAATTATTAAAAATAATCTTTTTTTTTTTATCATCTAAAGTAACACACGACGGACTTTCTAAATTAATATGAGCGTTCAATTCACTGTCGTTAAATTATTATTTATAAAAAGCTAATATATGACTGTATTTTTTTGTATATCTATCTATACATTTGATTATAGTATTTTTTTCCTCACCTTAAAATTATGGCACCACTAAACCATAGCAGAGTTTTCTGTTTTTTATTATTATTTATTAGTACCAGTTGTACAGTTTGATGTTAACAAACTCTTATACATTTTTTCTTAAATCTAATATATTTTTGAAAGAAAATATTTAACATCTATATATTCATAGAATTTATTTTTTTTTATAATTAACTAGACACTTAAAGGTCACTTTGAGTGTATTTATCTTCTTTGGTAGTATCTCCTTTGGATATTTCACCTGTACCTTTCAGATATTATACTTCAGTATCCTTTCTACGTTCTATCTCCTTGAAAGAAATACAAATTTCCTTAATTGGAGGTCCTCTCAGTAGTTGTCTTGTTCATGTGTCGAGGTCTGCTCAGATAAACAAATGATTAATTGTCTCTGGTTCTACTGTACATATCCTGCAATTAGTGTTACGGTGACTCTTTTGTGTGCCTTTCCGTAATTACTGCACCTTAGGTAGATATAATATAATAGATGGATCGTTAGAAAATTTATATATCTGACAATAAGGACTCCATTATCTTTTTATTGTTGTTGATGGTCTGCAGATTATTGAAGTGTTATAAGTCTGCATTAAGACGTTTTTCAATTTGATTTAGCTCTGCTTTATTCCAAATTAAAGTAAGGACATCCTCACAATTCATCTCCTTCAGTGCCTTAAACAAGTCCTTGCTCCATTTTCAAGGATTACCATTTAAAATGTTCCTGCACTCTTCTCTGAGACATTTCTTCGGCCACCTATTTTCCTTCATGTTTAGAATATCCACTAAATAGTTGTTTGTTCTTTTCCTTGTCACATACAGATAGGTAAAGAGCTTGGTAAAGTTTTCTGTTTTTTTATCATTTTGCTTTTTATAATTTATTTTAATCAATTTTATTGTGAAAAATGATATTATGAGGCGTGCACTTTTGAATTTTCCAAACTTTTTATCCAATTTTTTATTATAATTATACAATTTACTGTAACAGATGACTGGGAAATACCATTTGAAAATATAAGCGATCTCCAATGGCTGGGATCAGGCGCTCAAGGTGCAGTCTTCAGCGGTATCCTGAACAAGCAGATAGTAGCAGTGAAAAAAGTCCGTGAGCCCCGAGAGACTGACATAAAGCACCTGCGGAAGCTGCACCACCCAAACATCGTTAAATTCCGAGGTGTATGTACACAGGCACCTTGCTATTGCATCATTATGGAGTACTGTCCGTACGGACCACTGTACGATTTGCTGCGAGCAGGAGAATTCATTCCTCCTCACCGTTTGGTAGCTTGGTCGAAGCAAATCGCCGCTGGAATGGCGTACCTGCACGGCCACAACATCATCCACCGGGACCTGAAGAGTCCGAACGTGCTGATAGGCCTGGACGAGTCGGTGAAGATAAGCGACTTTGGAACGAGTCGACAGTGGAACAACCGCAGCACCAAGATGACCTTCGCTGGAACAGTTGCGTGGATGGCGCCCGAGATAATCCGCAACGAGCCCTGCTCCGAGAAAGTCGACATCTGGTCTTACGGCGTTGTTGTCTGGGAGCTGCTCAGTGGCGAGATTCCGTACAAAGATGTTGATTCATCAGCAATAATTTGGGGCGTTGGGAATAATTCTCTGCACTTGCCCATACCTAAAAGCTGGCCTGAAGGGTACCAACTGCTGGTGAAGCTCTGTTGGTCTGAGAAGCCCAAAAATCGACCTTCGTTCAAGCACATCGAGGCGCATCTGGCTATCGCTGCTATAGATGTCCTCGGTACCGAGCCTGACGAGTATTTTAAGGCCCAGCAGACCTGGAAAAGCGAAATTAGATCACACTTGGAAGAAATGCAGCGGAATAGCTCCACTGGGTCAAGATTTGAGACTGAGTTGTCTGTTTTATTAGAAAAGCGCAACAATGAGTTGAAGCATGCTCAAGAAATCCGGGAATTGTATGAAAAAAAATTGGAAAAAACCAACAATCTTTATTTACAAATCAGCACTGCTTGGTCCCAGCTGCAGCAACGCGAGCAAATTATTTCGAAAAAAGAAAAGGAGCATAAAAAGTCTAAGAATCCGCTGATGAAAGCTCGAGACCAGTTGAGAAGAAAACGGAAAAATCCACACCAGAAATCAAGCTCGACAACACCTACGACTCCGTCTTCTCCGATGGAGTCTCAATTGCAATCTCCTGTCAAAGCGACGCTTTGCACTCAGATAAATGTCGCGACCAATCAGCCGGAAACTGTCATCGTGCCGCCTGTCAGCAATAACAATAGTTTTAAGCAGAAGAAATACCGACATCGACGGGTCGGCTCTGGAGGAGTCTCCACGGTCAGCTTGAGATCTTCGCCGCATCGAGAGAGAAAGAGCGGCGGTGACATGTCCATCAAGTATGTTAATCACCAAACGCAAACTGATATTACGAGTATTTCAATTAGCAACTCGATTGACTCCGTGGCTTGTTTCTCCCGCACTCCTAGCTCGAGACATTCAAAGACGACGCTCAGCTCTCCGTGTGATAAATTTTTGGACCTGCCGGATGGTAGAACGTCTTTTGATAGCGGGATTATTGGAGAGTGCAGCAATGGCAATGTTGGAGAGCCTGAGTGCATTTTTCAGGATACGATCAGAAGAGCTTCTAGTTCGGAAATTTGTAATGGTAATGAAAGGCTGAGGGAGTACAGTGAAGATCATCTGGAAACGCTGGGAAGAAAATTGTCGGAGATTATGAAAGATAATCGGATGATTGACAATGGCAATTGTGATGACGCTATTATGCATAGGTAATTTTTTTTTTTAATTAAGAAGTAATTTTTTTATTTTTAAAATTAATCTGTATTATTAAGAGAATAAGAAAAATTTTGAGTCAAGGATAGTTATGATAAAATCGGTTTTTTTGGTGAAATTTAGTGTCATTGCAAAGATCTTGATTTAAATTTGTGCTTTTTCAAGATTTTATATCATTGTCACTTATAGCCAATTTATTGTGATAAGTATTTAGGTTGTATGCTAAAATGCTCTATCTCTAGATACATAATTAAGAAATGACTTTGTATCTTGTGAACTATTGACATTTTTAAAGATATAAGCTCACCCCGATGTTACACTCATCGAGACCTTTCATTTGAGTACCCACATCAATTTTTCATATATTTTATATATTTATATATATAAATATATGAAAAATGTATCAAAATGCATGTGGGTACTCAAATGAAAGGTCTTGATGAGTGTAAGACCAGGATGAGCTTATATCTTTATAAATGTCAATAGTTAAAAAGTACAGTGCAATTTAACAAAAGTCATTATTTAATAAAGCAAAATTTTATTTATTTATAGTTCACAAGTTATGGCAGTCCCATAGTGACTCCAAGGTTGCTAGTTTTAATTAAAGAATTTATGTAGGATTTTATATTTATATTTATTTTAATTTTTTTCAGTTATAACCAAATGCAAGAAGACTTGACAAACTTACCTCACGACTTCGGAAGAATAACGATAAATGGATCAGTAAATAATGATTATTTAGAAATACCTGTTCCAATTAATCAAGAGACTGCGTCAGTGGCTGAAGATGAGAACGATAATAATAAATTAATGAAATTAAGCAATGAAGATGATGATGATTACGACGATGTGGACGATGAAGATGAAGCTTGTGAAGAGGAATGGTCCGATGAAGAAGGCGAAGCTTCTGGAAGCTATGGCTTCGATTTTTCTCTACGAAGTCGAAGGTAATTTTTTTTTTTTATTAATTTAAATATATTTTTTAATTCATTAATTTAATTTAATTTAATTTTTTTTTGTAGTTTTGGGAGAAAACCAATTAGGCCAGGATCCCGTAAAAGAAGACCGAAGCACCCGCTAGTAGACCGGTGCCTCGCGTCAGACGAAGAAAACACATCCGAGTACTCCCACCCACCATCGAGTCACACGTCGACTCTCGAGAGTAATCCAGATGCTCAACGTGCTTACAAAAAGGCTACTAATCGCATTTAAAGAAGCTAAATATTTTTTGCTTTTAATAATTAGGTGCTCTGATTTTAAATTAAGAGCTCGTAGATTATTCAGTCAGTCGCCAAACATTTTTCATGTTCTAAAGATGTATAATAATTATTTTTGTTTAATTGCAATTATGTGTAGACGCTTAATATTATTCACAGTTAACGTGTTCTCGCATACAATGCCAATTAAGACAAGTTTATTGAGATTAAGTGATTTGATACTGATTGTCTATCAATAATTATTAATTATTAATTATTTAGCGAACTTGGGATAAATTTACATGTACTTGCTAATAATAAGTATTATTTAATTAATTGTACATATAAAGTACTCGAATTACTATTATTAACTTTATTATTTAATTGTAAATTTATAATTAACGTAATTAATTAATTAATTATATTATTAATTAGTAATAATGTATAGTTGTAATTAATAGAAAAAAATGTACTTTGTCTTTACGTAAAATCAAATTGTGAAAGTATATTTAAGTTAGAATTTATTATTGACATCAAAATAATTTAATATTATTATTAATTAATTTTTGTTTATTGTCCAGTAATGAAATTAATTGTGACTGATCGCGTGAAAAAGATTTAATGAGAGAAAAATGTGCGTAAAAAAAAAAAAATTGTGACGACATTGTTTCTTTGTATCGCTCATATATTTGTACAAATATTTTTTTTGTCTGCATGACTGTGTATATAATTGTTTTGAGATCTCAATCTATGCTCGCAAAAAATTTAATTTAAGCATGTATGGTACTATTAAATAAAAATTATATTGTTTGTAGTAAGGATAGAAAATAATTTGAAGTATGAATTATGATTGAATGAAATTTATTGAATTTGTGATTGTGCAATTTATGTTTACTCATTTTAAAGGATTTATAATAATTATATTACACTTGTGCCGCCCAAAATTATGTAGAATTATATATATAAAAAAAAAAAAAAAAAAAAAAAAACATTTATTTAGTGTAGTTAATAAAAGTTATTAAATGACTTAAATATGAAAATAAAACAATATGAATGAAACTATTTGATTCCGATGAATCAGTATCTCGCAATATTAATAAGCTAGCATTAATACGAAGCTGTATTTAAATTAATCAACGACAAATTTTTAATGATAAATAATTGTTTTTTGATTACAGTTAGAGATTCGTGTATCGGAGTGCCTTTTAAATTTTGGATTTGTACTAGACTGTTGGGAAAATTTTTTTTATTAATATACTGCTAAAGTTTTTTTAATAAAAAAATTTTTTTAAATAAAAAAAGAAGTAATTTTTTATTGAAGAAACTTTAATAAGGTGAAAAAAAATTTTTTTACGGTCTAATTTTTACGCAAATGTAATAATTAAATTGTTGGTAAAAACAGAATTAAAACACCAAATAGTTGTAAAATTTTTTAATAAAAAAAAATAGACGGGGTACCTGGTTCAGAAAAAAAAATGCCTTAAAATAAAAAATGTTATATCTTTGATAGGCACTTGTACAAGTTTGACAATATTTAAAATTACAAATTTCTCAATTTTAAATAATAAATTAATAAAATTAGGCAGCTCCATACTTGTAGTGGTATTAATGAGTAAAAAAAAACTTGTATTAATTCAAGTTGATTTTTTATTTCTTCCTTGTCCTTTTTGAAAATTTTTACAATTTTTTTATTAAAATTATTGGCAAAGTAGTATAGTACTACTTTATCGATACTACTGTAAATTTTAAATTACAATTAAAACAGGATAAAAATTATCAGGAAGTAAAATTTATTTAACATTTAAAAAATTTTAAACTTTTACTTCTCAGTCCCTGAGTTTATTAAAAGTAAAATTATAATTTATTAAACGGTTTGATTTTTTTAACATACATTAAATACATTTTTCGCTAGCTGGTTAATCAGTTTTTTTAAATAGAGTTTAAAAATGCATTCTTGTTAATTTACACAGCCTTGAAATTAAATGACAGATCTATTGGATAAATATTTACATAAATTTTTAATTAGTTTTATGGCGAGGAGTCAATCAAATTTGAAAATTTAGATTTTTTTTTTTTCAAAATATTTCAAAAATATATAATTTTTGCGAAAAATAATTTATTTTAAAATAGCGAATTAATAAATTTAGGCCGTTCAAACACGAATGACTCCAGATCACTGGTAAAAAAAAAAAAAAAAAAAAACAAATATAAACAGTGAGATTACAACAATTACAAATACAACAAATCTCTCAGAACAATTAATACTGTTAAAAATATTTTTATAATTTTTTTTTCATAACATGAGACTAAAATGTTATTCTCGAGGGACGAGAAAAAATATTTTAACCCAATAATTAAACAATTGAGTATTATTATCATAAAATCCAAGACTTTTAATTAATTATTAATTAATAGAGATAAATTTAGTATTTTTTTTTTTAATTTTGGAAAGAATAGAGACTTTATTAATATATACATGAAATGAGAATGAAAATGAGCTTGAGGAAAAATGGTCCTATTTTAATGAACTAATTAATAAATAAATAAAAATTATTTACTTATTAATTAATTATTAACGATCCTAAGAGTAATTAATTTAACTTGAGACAAAGCGAGATTCACCAGTAAAAAGAACTGTGCAAAAATTCAGTTGTTGATTTGTATATCGTAGAAGCGCTTTGTTTCAATCCAGAAAACAACGAAACAATTCCGTCTTTTTGGGTTTCTTCTTCTTCTTCTTCTTCTTCCTCAGGTAAGTATTCTGGTAAGTCTTCGCAGTCGCCATTATCAACAGATAACTATTTAAAATAAATAAAATTAATTAATTTTTGATAATAAATTACTAGCAACCTTGCAGTCACTATGTGACTGCCGTGATTTGTGAATTATGAATAAATAAAATTTTGCTTTATTAAATAATGATTTTTGTTAAATTGCTCTGTATTTTTTTAACTATTGACGTTTTTAAAAATATAAGCTCATTCCGATGTTACACTCATCAAGAGCTTTCATTTGAGTACCCACATGCATTTTTGATATATTTTTCATATATACATATTAGGGTGGCGCAAAAAAACCGACTATTTTTTTTTTTTGAGTCTCGAGTGAAAAAATGTTAGTTTTTGATGTCTTAAGAGCCCTCACCAAAGGACAGCTCAAAAAAAAATTTTTAAGAGGTCACTCCAAATTTTTCAAAATTGCAAAAATCGTCAAAAATCAAAAATTTTTTTTAAAAATTTTTTTTCTCGTTACGGTATAATTTTATAGACAAAAAAAAATAAGTTTCTGAAA